CCAGACAAGCAATGATCTTTAACGGGAAGCCAGGGCTCACAGTCTCAGAGGAGTGAGGCCCAGACTGACTGATTCTCCGACTATTTACTGAGGAAGAGGGCGCCAGAGAGGCAGTGAGCCTTTGCTAAAGCCATTGCAGCTGTTGGGAGAGCAGGACTCCGAAACATCTTCGGGGAACAGGTGGAACTCTTGATCTGGCCAGTGTGATCACGTGTTCCTGTTTTCAGGACAGAGTGAGCACAGTGTTCTGTGTTTTCTCACTCTGACTTTAACCATCTCAGGGTCCGGTGGTTCTGCACCAGACCAGAATGGAAGTTTTTCACCTCTCTTTTTGAATGTTCACTGAGCACAGTACCTACATCACAAACAAAACAAAACAAAACAAAACAAAACAAAACAAAACAACACAATGATGACAACGAAAACACAGAGTAGAGGAGCTTCCTTTGGTTTATATTGATTCAGTTAAGGCCTGAATCTGCCTTATAAAGTGAGGAATAGGTAACTGTATTTACTCTAAATAGATAACTTTTACTTATGGGTACTAACACTTCCATTTTCTTTTTGGGTGAGAAGGTGAAGGGTATGGGTTGAGTTGTGTCCCCGAAAAGATATGGCATAATGCTAACCCCCAATACCTCAGAATATGACCTCATTTGGAAATAGCATCAATGCAGATGTAATTATTGGGTCATCCAGAAAGTCATGATGCATTTGTTTTCATAGAATAACACGTCATAACTTTCCAGACAACCTAATAGTTAATATGAGGTTGTACTGGAGCAGAGCAGGCCCTTAATCTAGTTTTACTGGTATTTGTATAAGAACAGAGGGACCAACAGCAGTTGGCGTAATGGCTATGTCTCTGGACTCCCATGTAGTTGACCGCAGTTCAAGTCCTGGACCCGGTGGCTTAAACTCACACTGGGCGTGTGTGTGTGTGTGGCCAAGATCCTGAGAGGAGACTGAAAGAGAAGGAATTGTGGCGTGGCCATGCCCCCGGGGGGTGATTTCTCGCTTTCTGTGTCTCTGAATGCGTCCTATAGCAAAAATCTCTCTCAAAACAAAACAAACAAACATACAAGCAAAAAAACAGAGACAGGGAGAGCAGAGTACAGTATGAGGAGACAGAGATACACAGGGAAGAGAGATGGTCTTCAGACAGCAAAGGCAGAGATTGAATGCCAAAGATTGCTAGCCACCAGCAGAAGCTAGCAGAGGCTAGTGAAGACTTTCCTCTACAGGCTTCAGAGGAATTATGGCCTTGCCAGAGCACCTTCATTTTGCACTTACAGTTTCTAGAACTGTGAGAGAACATATTCCTGTTGTTTTAACCCATTTGGTTTGTGATAACTCTGCAATAACAGCCACAGGAAATTAATACAGGGGGCAATGTCATGAGATAATTGGCTGGGATTTTCCTGATCAATCTACTAGAGACGTAGCAGTTCATCAGTGGGAGCATTTGCCCACTGCTACCCTAGGGACATAACATGTATCCCTTTTTTTTTTTAATCTTGATAGACCACAGATTTAGATTATTTTAACACCCATCATGCCATGAATTCATAGGGAATAGGTTCTAGAAGCTCAGGCTCCTTTCCATTGGTTCTCAGAAAGTGTGCTTCTCTGGGTGGAGCAGGTTGGTGCTTCAGTTGAATCCAGGTCCCTTTCTCCTTGGCTTCCCTTTTTTTTCTGATCATTTTTCCTTCAGTTAGGAAGCTATCTCTACTCTTAGAATGCTTAATATGCTCAATATGCACATTAATTATCTTGGCAAGAATCTTGCCCTTAACTTGTTTGTTTACAACAATGCCAACAGCATGCTGGGTGACATCGTAGACGCTTCCAGTTTTGCCATGGTAACATTTGTGGGGCATTCCTTTTCTTTTTTTTTTTTTAGAGTTATAAAGTGATTTGCTTTATTGTATTTTATTTTAAACCTCAGTTTTTAAATTTTAATTCAAAGAACCATTGTTTCCATTAGATTCCAGCACTTTTTCTTCTTCTTTTTTTTTTTTTCTTTTAGTAAATATTTATTTTAGACAATTTCAGTAGAGGGATGTGGATTATTTTATTTTATATTTTTATAAGAGAGGGATTTTTTGCTCTAGGCATGTGTGCTCGCTGTGGGGCATTCCTTTTCGAACAGTGCCCATTCCCTTGTTGTCTACAATATCACCTGTTCTCTGTCTCTTTCTGGAGATCACATGTGCCCTCTGGCAATTAGAAGAGGGGCAGCAGGTGGCATGGTGGTTAAGGCCCTGGATTCTCACATAGTAGACCACAGTTTGAGTTCCAGATCCAGAGACTTGAAAATCATGCTTGGGTGTGTGTGCATGCATGCCTAAAATCCCGAGAATGGAAAAAAGACTGGGCATGGACATCCCCCTCGAGAGTGAGTTCTCATTGTCTCACTCCAGTGAGTGCACAAAGCCCTATGGCAAAAGTCTAAAAAAACAAAAAAAGAGGAAACACTTTTCTTCAGGACTCAGACTTCTCAAGTTGCACTACAAGGTGGAAATGTTGATTTCTTAAAAAAAAAAAAAAAAAAGTAAATAAGCCAGAAACAGAAAAAAAAAAAAAAAAAAGAAAGAAAGCCAGAAACTGCCTTACTCATTTGAAAAAAAAAAAAAAAGTTGTCTTATAAGTACAAATTTCTATTTTCCATAAGGGTGAGAAGTTTTTTTCTTTTGGCAAAAACTCTTATCATCTAAAAATCGTCACAGCATAATCTTTTGACTCAGTTGTGTCATCACCGATATATCTGTAAGTTGGTGAAAATAACATCATTTTATTGGGCCAGAAGGTTGTGTGGAGTTAAGGCACTAGATCTCTTATGGCTGACTGCGTGGTTCAGGTCCTGGTGGACTGAAAATCACAAAGGATGCGTGTGTTCCAAATCTCACAGAGATTGGAGAATTGTGGACTGACTGCCCCATTGGGAGGTGATTTCTCTTTCTTTCTCTCTCTCATGCCATATAGCAAAACTTAAAAAAAAAAAAAAAAAAGTCTAGAAAGTATTTTTGGATCTTTCATATCATTCTGTTCACTGGTAAGGCCATTTTGAGTAAGTAGTAAACAGACCTGTAAGTTACCCAAAATGATGTTATTTTTTGAGATTTTTGGCTATTGGGTGCTTGCACTCGCTGGAGAGACAGAGACAGAAAGTGAGAAATCACCCCATTGGGGGCATGGCCATTCTGATAATCCCTTCTCTTCCATTCTTCTCTCGGGATCTTGGAAATGCATGCACATGTGCCCAGCGAGTTTTAAGTTGCCAGGCCTGGGACTTAAACTATGGCCGACTATATGAGAGACCAGCAACCTAACCATTACACCATCTGCTGGCCCCACCCAAAATGATATTCTAACTTAGAGACCTATCATCACTGTTTGGATAGGAAACTTTGGATTCTGGACACACACATGCCTGGCAAGTTTTTCAGGTTGTTGAGTCCAGGACTCGAACTCGAAACTGATGTCAGAACTTAACTTACGTCTTGAATTTAGATACAGTAAACGTGCTTTTCATTAGAATTAGCTATGCTGTATCACAGCTTCTAACACAAATATCATAAACATTTATTTTCCTAAATCACATTAGGCGGCATATTTTTAACATACATAATGCTAGAAACAAAACAATGTTATTACTCCATGTATTAGAGGTCTTCAAAATGCTTGTGGAAAATGCATTTTATGAAAAACACTATTCATGGATTTCAAACTTTTTTTGCACCTAAATTCATCCTTTAATTTCATTTTTCCATTAACTTTTCAAGTCCTCTTGTACTAGTTGTTGCTTAGAAATTGAATGCCAGAATGAGGTGATTTATAAAAAGTTTAATTTGCTACATGTCATGTGTGCTCATGAGGAAGTGAGAAAGCACTCCTGGGGTGTGTATGTGTGTGAGACCATACCCCCATCCTTTTCTACTCTCCTTTAGATTCTGGGCATACATGTGCCTGGCATGTTTTTCAAGTTATTGAGTCCAGGACTCAAAGTGCACAGTTGGTCCGCAGCTGGCAATGTGGGATCCAGCTGTCTTAACCACCATGCCATCTGGCTAGCTCCAAAATAAGGTATATTTAGCCAAGTTTTGGAAGTCCAAGGTCAAGGGCTGTGTATTCTGAGGATCTTTATTACTTACTTAATATAAAACACTGTGTATATATACATGTACTTCAAAAAGTTTGTGGAAAACCCGAATTGAAGTATGTGTTCATTTTGGTGCAAAAATATTTAAAAACCATTTTTTTGGGGGTGATATATATTTTCATAAACTTCATCTGAAGATCCTCTATTGTGCTTAATTAAGATGGCAGTACCTATATAAAATTGATGATATATATATATGTATATAATATATATATATACACACACAACCTATTTCTAAATGTCTTTTTATAACATACTTTAAATAAACATACATTTGGGAAAAATATTGGAGTCATGTATGCATGAGGCACATTTACAACCTGAAAACTCAACCCATGAATATATAAACACTGAAAGAAAAATCCTAAATGTGATTCTAAAAGTACTTCTAAGATTACCAATCCCTATACAAATTCAAATATTTTTTGAAGAAAATGAGTATTTACTGCTGTTTCTAAAATTTAGAGAACTTAATGAGTGCTTTTTAAAGGTTAGAATTAGCTTTAAAATTTATGTCCACTTGAAATACTGGAAACTTGGACATGTTTGAGGAAACTGGTACCTGAAAATGGTATTACCAGATAAGGTTTGGTTCATATTTAAGGCTAAAATTTGAACTTACAAGTCTTAGGAAAAGCATCCATAACTAAGTGAATTATTAAGTAAAACAATTACTACAAATTCCCTTAAGTCTTCAGTAATTGTTGGTACAGATCTAGAAAAAAAATATCCATAATAGCTTACTAGCTGAACTATCATGTTAAATGTTTGTATGTATGGTGAGTAACTAATATGACCATGATTCAAAGAAATCTCCAAACAGTTATACAAAAAAGAAAAAAACAAAACACTTTATTTTCCACAAGGAAGAGCAATAGGAAAAATTAAATCATTTCCCACATAGTTTTCTTAAAACAGAGCCTACAAGGACATATTCAGCACCAAATAAAAAAGGAAAAAATAAAAAGAGAGAAATTACAAACAGCCATAGAATATAATCTATAAAGCAAACATTTAATATTGCACTTTGTTTTGCTAACATTTTGGATTTTACTTTTCCTAATTGAAAAATCAGGAACCTATCTTGAATACTGGAATAAAACTGTGAACCTCACATCTTATGTCAGGAATTGACCAATATTTAGAAAAAAAAGTAATGCCTCTAAATAAGAGTAAGGAAATTACTTTAATGGAGAAAATAAAACTTTATCTGATAAAGTTTTATAAACTGAAAATTTTATCACATTTTGTGACCCAACGCCAATGATTAGAGTATTGGTCTTTCTTGCTTCATTTACTTTTAAGAGAGTACACGGTGATAAGTATTCCAATGCTATGCATATCAACAATTGTTCCCTAGTCAGTTAGACATAAGGAGAGAGAAAAGAAAAGGGATTTTTCTGACAATCCCCCCCAAACAAAAATAAAACCACCAAATGCCCTTTATGCCAAATATTCCATTAGCTTCTTTTGAGGGGGACATTCACAAAATGATTTAACAGTAAAAAAATATTTCACCCCCATTTCCTTATTATCTAGTATTAGTTTGCTACGGGAGCCCAAACCCTTTATTTAACCGAATCACTTAAAACGCGATTCATTTTTACACTGGGCTTTCTTCACCCTGTCAGCATTTTTCAAACATGAATTATCTTCCATGTTTTCTTAAAGGCCACTTATGGAAAAGCCTATTTGTTTTGTATGAAGCTTTAAGACAGTATTTAACCAGGTCAAGCACCAAGCCAGAGTTACTATTACTTTTAGCCACTTTATTAACTGTGGGGTTAAATGGCAGGATAGATCTAACATCCATTCCACACATATGTTGCAACATCAGAGATGCTGATTTTCATTAAAAACTCCAGAACTGAATTCCCTCTTAAATAAAAATCAGTACACTTGGTACCTTTGAAAACTCAGTTTTAAAATTTTATTATGAAATGCTGGTATATTCATTGCGCCAACTACAAATGACCTTTAACATGAACATGAACTCATAAATGTGATCACTCTTCTTACCCATCACTCTTCTTATTTTACCCATGCATACTCTAAAGAAGTGACTCTTCACGTCTACCAAACCATTCTTTAGGTAAGGAAGAGTATTTTCTCAAAAAACAAACTCCCCAAAAATATAAAAGTTACTATCCTAGCCAATTTTCTGGTATTTGTAGTTTAGAATTTATATGTTTTTGGAATAAACTTGGGTTTCCATGTTCTGTTAAGCTTGAACAGAATAGCAAGGGTAAAAATTGAGCTCCTTCATTAGAACCATAACATACATGTTCCTGCTCATTAAAATAGTCTACACCAGCAAAAATGATTTCCAACATACGTGTTTTGGAGATAAGTAACTCTGTATAAAAATAAATGCACTTTCCCCTTTTTCCCCCAGTGATTGGAAAACTTTCTTGTTTTTAAAGTAATAATAAAAATAATTTTTAAGAGCAACAGCCCTTAACTCTTTGCTGGTGCTTGCCATACTGCCTTTCCTTCTCCATTCTTAGCTCTGCTACTTTCTTCTTGTATGTAATGATAAAAAGGGAATGTGGGTGGGTTATCACTTTTGTGTATGTCCCGTTTCCAAATTTCCCTCTCCAAAAAGCCAACCAAATAAACAAAAAATAATTCAACAGTGCAACAAAACACAAATAGCATTCCAACAGTTTGGCAAGTGATGCGTTCACCTGAGATTAAGTGATTTTAGGCAGTCAGTAACAAAATGCTGCTTTGCTGTAATAGTAGAAAGGCAACAAATTCTCAAAAGAAACCAAGAAGGTATACAATCTTGAAAAAGTCTATTAGCTTCCTCCTCTTATCTCTTTTTTTCCCACGTTATCTGTTGCGCATCTACTACAGTAGGCTGCAAAACATACAGCAAAAAGATTGGCTTGAAGGCATTTGATGTTTGTAAATAAATCCACAATAGGATCCAAGCTGAAGAGGTGATACATGGTCAGCCTAGTAGGACAATTCTGAGCATGTGCATACGCAGGTAAAGTCCAGGCTATATTAAATAAAAAAAATGTCAGTGCGTTTTTTTCGTGTTAAAGTTTTTTCAAAGCTTTCTTTTCGTTTCTTGTTGTGCTGACCACAAACAAGTTTTAAGAGAGTATCAAGAGTCTGGCATAAATGGAAAAAAAAAAAAAAAAAGCTGTAGTGACATTGAACCGCACAATGTAAGCATTGAGCATGTGCAAATTTTCAAATCAAAAGAAGGAAATCATCCCTCTTTACAACATGGTGTCTTGACACGTATGACCATAGGCTAAGAAGACTGCTCTTAGTATGTGCCAGTTTAAAGAAGAAAAGCTTAGATCTTCAAGCATGGTGGAGCAGTCCCAGAATGTTGCTGTAGGCTTCTAAAGCATGATCTCTGGTTGTTTCTTGTATTCGCCATTTTTCTGGGCAAAAGCAATTCCACTTCCTCTGAAAACGTGTCTCCAAGAATCTTCTCTGTCCTCAGCCGGAAGAGATACAGTTCGGAACCCACATCAACTTGATTCAACCAAGTGTTCCTTCAACGTGAGGGGCAGGATGGTCTATCATCTGTTGACTGATCAGGATTTGGATCAATCTAGAAAGAAATGAGGAGAAAAATTTATAAAGTTACATTAAGATCTAGGAAGCATGAAGTCAATGAGTAACTTTTGAGTACTAATCAATAAATGTAATTGCTAGCAAATTATGTCCAATAATTCCTTTTTCCTATCTGACAGCATGAGGAGGAAAAGGTACTGGTTCATCTATAAAAGTACTGATATTCAACTATTACAATAACAAAAATATTTATAAAGGCATGCCTGAATAGTCCCTTATTTTGCAGAAGTTAACAGTAAAAGTTCAACAGTGATGGAGATTTTTACTTATCATTTAGTAGTACTTAAGACTCAAATATACAATGGAGAGAATGTCTTCCTTCACAGCAATGATCTCCTTTCGCAAAGTGTCCTTTTCATTCCCCTATCAGAAAGTCAACTTATTTCTTTCCTAGACTTTGTAAAGAATGAAGCTGTGTAAACAATACTCTTGGGTGCTTATGTAAGGTAATAATTCATGGGTGTAAAACTCCAGAGAATAACTAAAATACAGGAAATAACAAGACTGAATCTCAATGCTCTAGAGCCTTCTTACCATCTCTATGTCTGAAATGACTTTTATATGCATGTATGCTTAATGGAATTAATGTCTTTCAGTTGCTTCTCAGACACAAATAAAATGGGCACAGAAAGACTAATTGTTGGATGTAATATATTTCTTTTAGGAAAGATGTTTTAGTTAAAGCCCATCTACCTAAAGCCTAAGAAGCTTTAGGTAAAAATGAAAAAGCTCAATAATTTACATTAAGCCACATGCTGAGCTAGGGTTTTAAAATTATCTTAATTATATTTATTTCATTTCAAAAGAAGGCAGTATTTTATGACAAAATGCTTAAAGTTAATTTAATTATACTGCCATTCTTTTAAAATGTCCCCTTAGTGGCAGTAAGACTCAAAGCAAGCCAGAAACGACCAACTTAGTATAGAACACAGAATGTTAGAATTAAAACTTAGTAATAAAATCTGTAACAAGTCACAGAACTTTTTTTTTTAAAGAGAGGTTTTCTTGGTTAGAGGGCATGTGTGCTTGCCAGAAAGACAGAAAGCAAAAAGTCACCCCCCAGGGGGAATGGCTTAGCCACAATCCCTCCTCCTCCATTCTCTTCTTGGGATCTTGGGCACATATACACGCACACCTGGCATGAGTTTAAGCCACTGGGTCCAGGACTCAAACTGTGGTCAAATACATGGGAGCCCAGCGACATAGCCATTACACCAATTGCTGGTCCCAGTCACAGAACATTTTCACCATCTAACAGAAAATTATGTGAACTGGAATTAATAGAGTAAGAGAAATTATATCTAAGAATTTCCAAGAACAGATTCTGAATATCCTTTAATTAACAAATGAAGAGAATCTCATATATCCAAAGGAAAAATCAACTCTTCCAGTTAAAAAAAAAAAAAAAAAAAGAGCAATTTCTTAAGAATAAAACCACTCTTTTCCTTTTAAAAATTTTGCAATGGGGCACATACACTTGCTGGAGAGAGAGAGGCAAAGTGAGACATCACCCCCCTCCCCCACATGGGGCATGGTCACATCACAATCTCTCTCCAGTAGCTCTACCTCCTATCAGGATTTTAGGCATGCGCGCACATGCTCCCAGTCTGTCTTTCAAGTCACTGGTCTGGGAGCTGAACCAGGGATCCAGCTGCCTTAACCAAGCCACTGGCTGGCCTTCCTCTTTGTGTCTAATTTGGGAGTAATATTTCACTATCATAGCTGTGTAAATTCCAGTAACCTAAAGAAAAAGCTAACTCTAGTAACTTACAAAATTGTTTTGGTACCAAGGCCAACTTTAAAGTCCTTCGAAAATGTACACTATGGACTCCACTCCGAAATACCCTGAAATTGAATTTGCTCCCCACTTTGCCTTTAAATACACTGGTTATCCTACCAGGATAACTGCATGGAAACATAAGTTGTTATTGCAAAAATATGGTATTTTCCTCTATGATCGGAAATGATAAAATATCCGAGATTAGTAAACAACTATAAATAAGGCAGTCCAGCTATTTAAGGTAATGCTTGCAAAATGTCAGCTCTTATCAATACATAGAACTATAAAATTATTCCTCTAAAGATGTAACTCAACTTGAGGTCAGTTCATTGCTATATCTCCCAAATGTTTCCCTGTGTTGAACTCAGTAAATATCGGTCATTTTTAAACCTCAAAAGTTCTTCTGCTTGTCCTTCTATTTCCATGATAATCAAAGCAAACTGTATTTTTAAGAGTGTAATGCTATTTCCTACGCAAGTCAATAAAGTTCAAAATTGAGTAGTTAGAACTCACCTCTGAATAAAGAGGTGGAGGCAAAAACCGAAACTCCTGAATATATGCAAACAGTGGTCCTTGAAGTGCTCTCTCAAAGTCATCACAAGCACTCACTGGTGCAAGATTGTTCCGCCTTTGTTCCTCTGTTACCACTTCTGCATAGCTGGGTGGTGCTGAAGGAAAAAGATACACGCAATTCGAACAGCATGTTCTTATGCATGTCAAAATACACAGAATAGTAGATATTAAAAAGAAATGTCAAGATAAAATAATAAATATTTGTTTGGTGATTAAAACTAGGGGAACATACAACCTAAATTTAACATTAAGGGCATATCTATTCTCTTTAGAGATAGTTAAAAATTTATCTAGGGTCATAAAAATCAGAAGTAAAATAATGCTCTTGATAATAATAAAAGATTAAGCTTAGATATGTATTATCAAATTACCTTCAGGTCTTTCAGGAAGGGATAAACCAAGCCAGTTCATATTCATGCTACATTGACTGCTTACACTTGAGGTTCTGCTACCAAATGGATGTAGAGGAATGGTACCAATGACAAGTGGCAAATTAAGAAATAAATCCATAGCTCCAGGAATATCCACATATACCTAAACAGTAAAAAAGATCTATTAGACCTAAAGTGTCAAGTGTGATTTCTTTTAAAAACTAACAACCCAATTTAAGATGCTCTTTTTCTGTCATCTTTTACCTATATACATGAAAAGCTTCTCACATATAATCTTATATATTATCCTTAAGTAAAATTAGTAATTGTAACTCAAACTATATAAAGATTTGTACATACTCATATCTATCACTATATACATTGAGTATAATAATCAAATCCTGTATTTAAGACAAAATGATATCCCTACAAACTTAAAAACAAAACTCTTAAGCTTATACGTACCATTAGTGAATATTCCACACGGATTATACTACAGTCGAGGATAGAGGGAGAAACTGGTGGAATTTTCAACAACTTGCCATTCCACGTCTCTGTCTTTCCAGATGATAAGGATTCCCCACGCAAGTTAGCCACAAGCTGTTTCACTTCCTTCATTTTCCCTTTGGCATAGAAGGCCTGTGTTTGGTAAATGGCTGCCTTTGGCACCACCATTCGGGAAGAGCAATTCTCAATCTCAGCAAATATCTGAATTGATTCACCTAGAGCAAAAGAATTTAAGAAATTAATCTACTGCTAATAAAGCAAAGCAAACATAGATTATTAAATCTAACAATAATGAGCTATTCCCAATAACTAGTTGAAAATGAAGACTATATTTCAATAGTTGAAAACAAACTGGATAAGCACAAGTCTTTCTGTACTATGTTAATATGTGGCAGCAGTATTATAAATTTATACGCAAATGTTAAGTGAAGAGACATTTTTTTCTAATGGGAATTTACCTCATACATACCTGGGGTATAGCCCTTCCTTTCAATTTTGGCACTTAAGGATATTGGGCCTGAGGTACAGAACCAGCAACAGAGAGTCTTTTCTTTTGTGCCTGCTTGGGGTGACTGCAAGAAATAAAGGAGAAAGATCAATATATGAATTGGTACAATGTTGAAATATTTTAAAATCTAATTCTAAATTCTTAGAGAATTTAAAATGAAAAGTAGTGTTGCTTTTCTTTTTGTATCCAAATATATCCTTTAAAAAAAAAACTAGCCAATGGCTTCTGAATTATACCACTACTTTTTGTCTTTATTTAATTTCTATTCAATTAATGAGAAAAAAGGTAAAGGGCTTAATACCCTACCCAATAAAAATACCTTTAGCCCACACTATTTACATACACAGTAATTAAAAAAACCAACCGACCAAAAAAAAACAAAAAACCCAACAACAACAAAAAAACAACAAAAAAAACCCTTTCCACATTCCATCTAAATAGCCTTAAATAAAGGCAGCACAGAAAGCAATTTGGTAATAATCCCATCTTTAAGAACAGAAAACTCAGTATGTGAAAAATGAAAACTTCCCATTTTTAAGGTTAATTATTTGCCTTAAAGATGTTATCATCACTTTAAACCAAAGCATTTTTGAAGTCAAATTTGAATTAATTTAATAAAAATACAACAAAAAAGGATTCCTTTTAAAATGGAATTAAGTTTTTTTCACAGTGGTGATTCCCCATCATTTGACAACTATCCCTATATTGAGATAATGCAATATAGCACAAACTAATAATGACGTTTTCAAATGATACTGTCTTATAATGTAGACTACTACTGCTCCTCTTGCATTAAAATCATCTAGAGAACATTAGTAATTTTTTGTTATTGATGTCATATTCAAAGTAAGAGCTATTTCCTACCGTACTCTTTTAAATTTACTACAGTATCAAAAATACGAGCATATTCTTCATCAATTTGTATGCTTTACACTATATTTAAAAATATATATATATATTTGTGGGATTTTAAAATAAAGACTTTTTTTAAATTGTGAAGGTTGCATAGATAAGTATTCTCTAGTACTTATATGCCAAAAGCAAAGATCGAAGAATTCAGTCAGTTCTTACCAGTAATGAAGGAGTGTTGATATCTATATGCTCAAAGACTGTAAATTCCTTCTTTAATTTTACTGGTAGAAGCCAAGGCCTGTGCAATTCGGCTTTCACCCAATAGCGCACACTGCCATGTCGGCCTTCGAATGAGGTAGCAAGTGGTCTGCGTAGAATATAAAGGTCAATATATTAATCTTATACCTCTTCCTAAGAATTACACAGTAAGTCAAAACAGAATTGCTACTATATTGTACTGTTTATGTACCAGTAAGGTATCAAACCTGTAATTTAAAAAACTTCCAAAGGGATAAGTCATTGGGGAAATTTTTTTTTTTAAATAACAACATGATAGTTGTTAAATATTATACAAATTTTGCTCTAAAAAGCAAAAGAATATAATCCTTTCAAACTAAGAAGCTACTTTTAATGCTGGTGGCAAAATTATGAAAATTATAAGAACAGTTCCTAAAAAGGTCAAGAATTTAATTTAAAAATAAAGTTAAGAATGGTTTAATTATTTCTGTTGAGGAATTCTAGAAACTGTTAAACACTGACACTCAATTCCTATGGTGTTCCACTTCTCATTAGCTGGGAATTGTTACCTCTTTTTATAGCAACTAATTAAGGTCTAGAAAAAGCCCAGGATAGTCATTACCATTTCAAAATTTTCACATTTCATAAAGTCCATTGGAACTTTGAAAAACTGCTTTTACATTCCCAGCTTACTCACATTCTAATTCTTTTTTGAGCCATTTTCTAACTTTAGTTCAGGCATAAAATGAAATATATTCTTATTAACCTGTATCAAGAGAATCTCACGTTCTGCCAGATTTATTACCTGTGGTAGGCTTTTTAAAGTGAATTCAATCTTCTTCATAACTACATTAGAAAAATAGCTAATGTTCAGCTATTTATAAGGCAGAGTGCTAGCTCCGTTCTATATGAGCAACACTGGCATTTTTATAATTTTTTAGACCCCATTACCTTGCCTAGCACAGAAAAATAAACTGTGGGATTTCCAAACTACTTTACACTAATCTTGTAGGGCTTATGTGAAATGACTGGTTTTACCATCAAAAATAAATTGAATGACCCCTCAAGGTATTAGGTCTAGTATCAGTCACATTTTATTCAAAAAATATGTTTCTCAGAAAAACAATTAGGGTATTATATCCAAAATGAAGTTCTAGGTTACTATGCTAGTGAAACACTCTGAAAAATCCCATTTATGAACTCTGTCATGCAGTAACTCAAGTACCAGAATTAACAAAACTGTGGCATTATGTACATTTGGCACTTGGTAAAATTTTATGTTAACTTTATCCTCTAGAGCAATTAGTAAAACTGCCACTTTGCAGTTTTTAAATATGTTAAAAGTAATTTTTTTAAAAAAAGTTCCCATAATTTCTCCTGACAATCTGGAAGTACACAGACAACCACTTTCCCAAAGCCTTTAACTCCATTCTCTGCTTCATACTAAGGTATCTCTGATGTGTGTTTCTTTTAAATTTCAAGTCATAAGTGACCTTCCTAATAGCTCTTTGCACAGAAGCTGCTGGATATGTATAAAATATTATCACTTCTCTTTTTAACACACAAAAAAATTTTCTCGAGGGAACATGTGCTCACTGGAGAAAGTGAGAAATCACCTGCTGCAGAAGGGCCACCAGTCCCTTCTCTGTTATCTGCTGGGACCTTGGGTACCCACCGCCCAAATGGTTGTCAAGCAGCAGGGCCAGGACCCTAACAGAGGATAGTCACATGGGAACCCCCAGGCGCTGCTAGGTAGAATATCACTCTTAAAGTTAGGCTATTATGACGTATTCTTACCTTCTAAGTGTACTGCTATTGATTAGCACTGGCAGGAGAGAGAACACTGAATTTTTGTACACTGAGACTATGTTCTCTGATAATGCTGACTGTTCAAGTGTCTGACTGGCACCCTCCAATGTGCTCAGGTTAAATGAAACTATTCATGTTTTAAAAAAAACAAGCTCATAAATCTTCGCCCAAAATATTAAGACCTGAACTTATTTTCTATAACTTTGCCACGCTAGATTAAAAAAAATAGCTTCTTATGCTTATAGATTGCTTTCCTCTAGCAAGATCAGTAATGAAAGGGTTTTTTTTTTTTTTAAACTAAAAATACTGAAAGCTACAGTATGTCAAGAGTGCATTGAGGATGGGAATCTGAAAAACGCCTGTTACAATACTTACGTCTGTGGAAGCTCGAAGCTAAATGCATATTCATGCCTTCCTGAATGAATAGTGTTGAAGCCTTCTTCGGAATTATCATCATCTAAAACGGACAGAAAAAGAAAAACAACTTGTTAGTGAACCTGTACCAGCTCCTCCTGGGCCACACGACTACAGAGCCGCAGCGCTGAGGGCCACAGCTCGCGTCCCGGGGCCGCGTTCTGGCTCGGATCTCACCACTTCCTCCCACAAAACACACCCCGGCCTTGGGCTGCCTGTCTGTGAGATGGGGATAATGCATGTACTCACCAGGGCTACTGCCCCCCCCCCCATGAATACTAAGGGCTGCTCTGGCCTCATGCACACACTCAGCAGAGGGTCGGTCCCCGGTTTAAAGTGCTCATGGTGGGCCGATTGCGTTTGAGCGAAACATGGAGGGACACAGACGGGAAATTATGTGGATGATGATATGTAATACATCTGAGCCAAATCCAGTGTATTCAGGGACAAAGTCATTTCATACTCAGTGACTAAATGTAAGAAGTAAGGAAAAGACTATATAGTATCAAACGAGAATGGTTCATGTAAGCCTTTTAAAATATGTCAGCTTTGGGGGAGTAACACTCAAGGTGTGGAATACATTTTAGAATTCCAAAAGCACGACAAAACTGTTAATAAGTGCAATTTTTTTTTTTAAATAGGGATGTTAATGTCAGTTTCACAGCTAAATATAATTCTTTGACTTAAAAGGCCCCCAATACTTAAGAGGTCCTAGCAACAGCCAAATCTGCATCTACATAGGATGTAAAAGGTGGCCCAGATCGCTTGAAAAATGACATCTAATTAGGTAGTCTCCAAACGGTAGGAAAAACGGATGACTTCTCATTTTACAACCAATTTCTTTTGGTTAAGAGCTGCATTTTATAAGTGGCAAGAAAATATATCATTAAAACATGCGGGAGGAGTTGCGGATTAAAATGGCTCTTTCAGCAGGCTGACTATGGATCATTTAATTGCACAATGTCTTAGTTCTTTCGGTGTAGAAACGTTTATAATCAAGTCACCAGAATGGGGAAAACTGGTACTGTCGTTCAACTTTCCCTCATCCAAGTACTGAAAATACACAAAAAAACGCAATGTTTCTCTTAAAAGCTGGAAAAGGAAAAAAGGGCCCCTTCATATCGACTGCTATTCGAACACCACGGTGATTCGTTTAGGTCTCAATACTATTTCCCTCGTGCCCCACGTAAACCCCCGGGGCAGACTTCAGCACCAAGAACTAGCTGGTGAGTCGGGGGCCATCTAGACGCGCTCCCCTCCAAGGCGCCCGAACTTCGCTTTCCTCCCCTTTCTTCCCTTCTCGCTCCCTTTTTGTGCCAGCTCAGCAGTCTCATTGAGCCGAGCGGCGGCGGCGGAGGGGGAGCCGTGGTAAACAAGTGCCGGGCTGTCAATCAAGAACTAGACCGGAGCAGGAGAGGACCGGCCTAAACCGGCGCGAGCAGATCCCAGCCGGCCCGCCCGCGCGTCGCCGCCCGCGCGCCCCGCTATACATACGGCATACGTCGCGCTCGCGCCCGCGCCCGCGCAGCCTAGCCTGCTGGGCAGGGGCGGGGCGACCGCGCCACCGCGCTTCCGCTTTCCACGCCCCAGCCGGCGACCGGTTCGATCTGGCTCGGGCCACCCTGACACCTTTACAGTGGTGGCGGGGGAGGCTGGGCGGGGACAGCGCCAACAATGGGCGGGGGCGAGGGAACCGGCCGAAGCCCCCACTCAGGTCTCGACAGGAGGATCCCTATTCCTTCTGCTCTCGGCCAGCCCTAGCCGACGCGATCGCCCCGCAGGTCAAGTCGAAATAGCCGGCGGTCACCGACAGGTCGGGAAACACGCTTTGTTTCAGCCCCAAGGGAAGCTAGTCTCGACAGAGGCCACCTCACCTCTCCCACCTGGAAAACAGGGTCCTGCCACCCTGCTCAGTCAACTTCCCAGGGAACAGGGTTTTAGCCGAAGTTACGTCAGGGCCGAACGGCACCTGTACGGCTGGCAGGACCTTCTGCCTCTACAGCGGGGGTTTCTTTGGGTGACCTGGGGGGGCCTTTTCCCGGCGCCCGCGGTTTCCAAGCCTCGCCCCAGCCGGCAAGAGCCGCCTCTCCCCACCCGCCCGCGCCCAATCCAATCAGCGCCTGGCATCGCCTTAGCAACAGGCTAACAAACCCGGCTCCACCTATCGCCGGCGGCCCGGGGCGGGCTCTCATTAGCAGGCTAGTTTGAGAGCTTCGGGCTTTAAGTCATTGAAACTATTCCCGGCTAGGAGCTCGTCCACGCGTTACAGCGATTGAGGGGCAGCTGGTAGGGTGCGGGGCCCTTAGTTTTCTTGTGAAATTATGTTTGCCCCCCACCTTCACCACAAGCCTCAACTCTTCAAAGGAAAAAAAAAGGAAAAAAAAAAAAAAAAACCTTTGTTTCTTAGCATTCATTTTATAAAAGGCTGCAATGTCCAGAAAGGTTCACTGCGCCTGCTTTTTAGCAAACAGGACTGTCATTGGGCAGTGACATCTTTTACTGCAAACGCCCGAAAGGATTCATTAGAAATTATTCCAGGAGGCAGCACACCTATGGGGAACTCTGAAAACCCGCTAAAGAACTGATTTCGTCTTAAGATATTCCAAAATAATACGTTAAAGCTGTAGCTCAGAGCATCCCTCATTTCCCACTGGCCTTAGCTCAGCAGCACTTCCCCACGAGGTACGTTTCTAATATTAGAAAAAGATATAAACGTGCCTCTAAGCCTTCTGGAAAATCAGCAACACTTGCACTAAATGCTGCATTAAAAAGGAGAAGCACAAAAATTACATAACCAGTTTTAACATTATATTCTTCTTGGGCTAGGAATTAAGTCATCGCCACCACCTGACGCGCAGAACCAATCTGTGGAGAGCAGCGCCGGCGCCCCTCCTCACCACCCCCAGAACTGGTCCGAAACAGGATTGAACCGCTTCTAACAAAGGGTGGAAACTTAGAAAAACAAGCTTAGACTCTCCTATATTTCCACAATGTAGCCATTTAGACAATAGATGGGAAATCTCAGGACCCCTTCTCCCTTTGACAACCCTTTATGTCCTCCTCCTAAGCAAAAATCAAATCCAATGTGCCGTGTACTTTTCAATTTCATTTGACTGGCATGGGTTTCATTGAATGCACGTTCCAAAGTTAGACGTGATGCTCGGAAAAGAAAATCACTGACCCCAGGTGGCTTCTACAACGGACTTAATTCCTACCATTAGGATAGATGCTGTCCTTTAAAATAAGAATGCCTGATGTACATTTCTAAAGGAATTGGAAAGAATAGGGAAAAAACACGTGGGGTGTTGATACCATATGTCAAAATAAGCCACAGAAACCCTCAGAAGAACAATGATCTATTCCTTAAAGTCTTTTGCGTGTCAGTATTAAAAATGAAATTCACTATTAAGTCTCTTTAAAAGGCAATGCCATTTCTTCGCTGAAACTCAGTTTTCAGACCTAAGGTTGCAAAGTTCAAAGGGAAAAAAATGGAATATGGTCTGCAGCTCTTTGCAATTCATTTGAAAGCATATTACTAAAATTACTGACTAGGATTTAAGCAGAATCCACAAGGTGCAGCCAGATTACAAGTGCGTCTGGCACCGGCGACGCCGGGAGAGGTGGCTGAATTAAGTGCAGTTTGCAGTCACTTTGCAGATGCCTGCATGCACTATGGCTTAAGCACGATGAACGTCAAGGAGAATCCAATCCTCTAACTTTGCTATCCTTTATCAAACTGCTGCGTTAGACCAGGAGTCGAACCACATTAATTCAGAAAACCGAAAAGGTACTTTTGCAAAGAAAACGAGTTTAATGATTTCTGAATAATGTAAAAACTTACCTCTTTCGTGCCCAATTAAGATGTCTTTATGGTTGAAATATTCTACTTCTTCAGTGTAATTCTGCGTATAGGCAGTATTGGAGCCGGCGTTTCTAGATTCAGTCCAGCGTACTTTCGCATGTCCTCTTGCATGAATTTTAAGAGATTTTACTCTGATTTCCCCAGTAACTTCTAAATTCACCCTTCCTGAGACAGTATCCCCGCTAGAATACACGGGGACATTGCTGTCATTCAGACAGTCAAAGCTTATTGTCAAACTCTTCACCTTTCCCAGCACCATGTTTATAACAAAATCTATAAAAATATAATGTAAGACAAAAAAAAGTCAAGATCGCATATAAAATGTGATCTTCACTTAACACTGATCGATGTCTTTGCCGTGCAAAAAGCTTGCAGGCAAGATCAGCGATTCTTTACAAATAGTTCATTGAGATTTCTTAAAAAGTCAGGGCAGCAGAGAGGCTGCTCCTCCGCGCTCCTGCTCGTCTCAGTGGTCTTCTTACAAAGACGGGCGGCTGAGAGCTGCCAGCTCACTTTAAGAGCAGCTTTGTGAAAAACAACCCCAGTGCGCACGCGCACGCCGCGGCTGCGGCCGGCCCTCCCTGCGCGCGCCCTCCTGCGCGCCCCCTCCTGCGCGGGCTCGCTCCCCGCCTGGCCGGCTCGCGCCCCCCCCCCGCGCGCAGCA